TGATACATCCTGATTGTAAGTATTAGTCTTGACTATAATATTATCAAGTTAACTGTAAGAATAGGATATAGAAGATTCTGAAAGATTTAGTACAAATTTAAAGGTTTTCCATATGAATAAACTGTTTTAAAGACTTAGTAACTATAGTATATTTGTACTAGTATCAATTAAAACATCTTGGTAAATGTAAGTAAATGAATGAATATAAGAACTAGAATGTTTAAATAGGGAACTTACAAACAGATTCTAAATATAGCAGTTAATATAAAACCTTAGGCAGACTACTTAAATTAAACAATAACTAAAGTTGTATAAGTAACTAGCTATACACTCTTTCCATAATTGTCTCCTATGGTTGTAATGCAACTATTAGCTAAATATATTATTAATAAAATTCTGGGTCATAAGTACTTACCTTAATATTTTTTTTAAAAAAAAACAAGATTTTAAATTTTGAATTTTCAAACATTGAAATGATTTATTGTAAAAACCTAAAATTTAATTTTTTTTTAATAATACTCAAATATAAATAAAAGACTATTATTTTGTTTATTGCATTTATATATTTTTATATAAACTATATGCTATGCTTAATAATAATATGCAAAATATTTTGATTCACTAACATGGTTCAGTCTTTCTAAAATCTTAGAAAATTTAATTTTTACTGTGTTTAATTTTCTTCAAAGGTTTTAACTTTAGTGAGAGTTTCATCAAAGTTTTGACATTTATCAGAGTTTTGATGTTTTACTGGAGTTTCATCAGTTTTGACTTTTGCTGGGTTTAGTTTCAACTTTCGCCATTTACCAAAAATAATTTCGCTTAACAACACTACTTGGGAGTATCGCTTGTTATTTCCCCCCTGGGCGGGAAGCCCTTTATTTATAATAAACGTATTATTCACATTCGAGGTTAATTTCCTCTACATTATTTATTTACATTATATCATTATTAAAACCCTTATTCCTACTATCATAAAGAAGAAACGAATGTTCTATATGCTGTTGATCTACCCGAAGTAATAAAAGCAATAAAAGTAACGAAAGTAAGAAAAGTAAGATTTCTCTTACTTTTCATGTGACCAATTACTCGGGTAGGGGACGGGACCTAAATTCGACGACCGGTCACGTGTGACAGTGATGACTGTAGGCCGTATTTCGGGATCACAATATTTATATCTTTTTTCTTGATTCATCGTTTTTATTTTTGTATTCGAACATAATAACCATCAACTAGTAATAATGGTAAAAACGGTTGCTCAAGCATCAATTGCAATCAATAATTTATTGGATGCGAAGCATCCAATAACTATATAATATTGTAATACTTGAGCACCATCACGATATAAATTAACCACATTGCACATTGAGGAAGATACATGAACATAATTCAATTATACTACTGTATCATTCGTCTATTGGACTTCAACGATGGTCTTAAATCTTATTATAGAATTGTATTGCTTTTTTGTCAGTGAATATACAAATGTACGCACGAACGAATGTTTCAATGGCATGATAATTTTTCACGCGACTAAAATTTTATATAACTTCATTCTTACAAACGAAAATGAACGTTAACAGTAAGATGTAATGATATTTATTGAACTAAAATAATTCTGAAGGCCATATACAAAAAATTATCACAAGTCCAATACCTAAATAGCCTACATAAATACAAGACTAGCTTTTCCCATAAGGTTCAACCACCCACAAATATCTTATTACTTTTACATCAATAAGTTTAACATAGGACATTCAAATAAAAAAAAAAACAATAATTTAAAGATAAATAAAAGAGATTATACATCTGAATGAGGTTTGAAGATAGGCTTTATTCCTACAAGAAGAAGTGAAATATATCGAAAATTTGGTAGCAGGAAAAAACATGACGCTATTATTTAAGAACGAATAATAACGTTTTATAATATAGAATTAACAATTGCAGGATCCTTGAGCACAGCTACAATTTTCTCCGCAGTTACATTTACTATGTACGGCAAATACAAAGGTTTATTAGTACAAGAATTACTCACAATTGAATTAAAACTCTGTAATAATCACCTGGAACCACAATCAGGGTCTGTTTCAAACATTTTGAATTATTAGCAAGATTGAGTATACCGAATTGATGATTGGTTTATATAGTGAACAGTATAAAAATAGCTTGTTTCTTTTTTTTTTACCTTTAAGAGAGATTCTTGGTGGGTGTATTTATATTAAAATATCAACCATCGTCGATTGTTGATCATGTATTGGCAAAAATCCCTCATCCATTATCGATATATTAAGTTACTTGTGATTTATATTTGTAATCATAAACTGACTTGGTATTACCGTTCGTTATTTAAGCTTATATAATTGGGGTAAAAATTCCTCATTTAATAATATATGTCATGTGGTTATGCGAACAAAATTTTCATTTTTGAGACTAGATTACGAAAAACAAATTTGAATATGCCAATCTTAATAAAACTAATTTCATTTCGCTTTACCTTATGATTTTGTATTTTTCTTGCATACTAGTATTATTAAATAAATGATATGACCGAATTTGACAAGTGTTGCCATATTATAACTAAATGGTTTAAAAGACATTAATGAATAAATATACGTACGTACAATACATATTCGTAGAAAGTTCTAGCCTTATCATGTAGTTTTATAAATTGATTATTCATTAAGAGATAGCGATAGATTAAAAATCGGGTTGATCAATATAAGAGATACAAGGATTTACTTCTTTACGCGAGTAATAATACTAACCCCAAAAAAAAAATGTAAACTAAGTACGTGAAGTTAGAAATTTAATGTTAGGGTGTTAGGTTAAGGATACGGTGATAAGCTATTATCTTTAAGAAGTTGTGTAGGGTTGATCTGAGAATCTGGAAAAATATTTAAGGAGTTTGTATTACTCGCAAAATAAATGGTTGCAATTTCTACCGTGATTTTGGTAATGATATACATTGTTACGATTCTTACAATTCTTACGATTCGTAGCATAAGATCTGTTTTTGTGATGATTCTTAAAAGATTCGATGCTGCTGATTATCATCGCGATCAATATTTTTGTGGTATCAAATAATTGAGGGAATGGGACGAGTAAGATAATATTTTAAATAATCATCAAAGAAATTCTTAAATTCTAGCCATTTTTGGTATCTCGTCCGCAAGAACGTCAGATAGTTTATTTAAGGTGCTAAGACAATATTAATAATATCAATTCAAACTTGAATTCGAACAACCAAAATTAAATTGAGCGATTAGAATTGTTCAAATACAGTTAGACCTCTCTATAGTCACCTTCTCTATAGTCACATTTGTTTATAATTACATAAATTTATATAACGATAACACCTATAAAATTTAGCCTCTATATAAGCACGTGCTCTCTATAAGCACCAAATACTTAAAACCAAAGGTGTGATTATAGAGAGGTGTATTACATATTGGAAGTACTCAGATCAATTCTTCCTATTAAGTTTCCAAATATGGGTGAACCAAGGGAAAACCGGACTTCGGGTTTCAATTGTATTCATTCCTTGAAAAATTGAATCAGTAACGTATCAAGCACGTGTACAAAGAATACTTTAATCGTTCGGCGAACCAATCTATTACAGACCTTGCAGCGGCTGATTCCGGTCGATAATAAATTCAAAAACCCAAGTCAGTTTCTCTCTTGGCTACACTCATATATATTATAAAGTTGGAATCATGTGACACAAACAAATTAAAAATTCAATACAGTATATGAATCTGTGTCATTGGTTAGAAATAACCTTCTTATTAAATTTAGGGTTAGAGCAGTGTTAAATATCTGAAAATTTTTTTTGGTTCTTTGAGAACATAAATTTATAAGTTTATGTTCTCATAAACATATTAATGTTCTTAATAATAATAAATATATATATATATTTCTTATATGTTATAAGAGAACATAAATCTTAACACCAAAAAAAAAAAAAAAAAAAAAAAAATAAGAGAACATAAATTATAAATTAGTTGATTCTCAAAAGAAAACATAAATTTTAAATATGATGTTCTAATTTTTTTTTAATGTTCTTGAGAATACTGAGAATGTTAGATATCTAACACTAGTTTAGAATGTAATTTTAAGATAAAATAAAGAATTTATATAAAATAGAGGTTTTTATATAACATAATATAGATTAAAAATAGATATCAAATATTTATTTTTGATATTACCTTTACTATATTTGGTCCGTAAACACATACTTCGCCAGGTTCATCATATCCTGGTTCTGGAAGATTATATAATAATTAGTTAATTAGAAAATATAAATATTTAATGATAGTGGTTTAGCTTCTAAATTTAGAAGAATTCCAGTAGAACCTATTTATAAAATATTTATGTAAGTCGCTTTTAAGAAACATACATTAACATAATTACAATACGTACAATTAATTTATAAATTTAATACCTGAGACGGTGTTCTTTTTTCACATGTCGATATTAATGCAGACGATTCAGCAAGGCTTAATAAAATAAATACGTATCAAAATTTAAATTTGAAGTTGTGTAATAAAAATGTGAAGAAATAAATGCTAGCAATATTAAAATATCCCTGTCTAACCGGTATTTTATGATTATATTAAAAAACTTTGCTCGGATGTTCACTCAAGGGAGATGCATCAGAAAATACAAATTCTACACTTGACATGCTTTCAACCGAAGGTGATCTAATTAATGTGAGTATGATCAGTGGAACCGTATAAACAAAGTTGACTTTATATTTTTGAACACAACAAAATGTCATCAAATTGAATCCAAGAAGAAGCATCCTTTTAAAGTAATTGATATTGTAAGTGCATCGACTAATAAATAATTTTCTCTCACTATTGCAACCTTACCAAAAATGTAACTAAATTAATGACAAAACCAATCCGTATATATGAAAAAATAGCTGCAGAAAAGAAAAATAATGGTGACAACTAGTTTTTTAAATAATAAACATTAGGAATAATAATTTACAAATATTCCTATGAAGATATTACGAGTACTAAATAATATGAAGATGAAATCTGTGCCATATTAGCTACAGCATTTGTATGTGTGATTTCATCACCTTTTTGATTTCCAGTGATTCCAGAGCTATAGCACAGAAATGCGATTGTTGCTTTAGCATCTTTTGATGAATATGAAACAGGTTCTACTTCACGATCACCAATAAATAAACTGAGGTTGAAATCAACGAACTGCTCTATTGCCAAACAAAAAAATCCTTGATTTGGGAATCCTAGCTTTTTTGGCAGTTTTAATAACAATGTCAAGCTATTCAAGGTACACAATTATAACGAAAGCACATGAATCGATAAATTGAGATGCAAATTCGACTGCCGTGTTTTACGGATTTGCTGTCGTTACGAGCCACCTAAATGTCATTAATAAAAATTTTAAATCACGATCTCATAAAATATTTTGACATACAGTGTATAAGATTTAACAAACTTACCAGTTACTAATGTTCCAAAAATGACCACGGGAGAATTATCTAACCATATGGTACATGTATAAAAAGAACATGGATTTGCACAGAAACACTTAGCTCATCATATAATCATGCACTTTGTTCCTGATATACGAGGTCTTACTTGATATCACATTAGAACTTTACAAGTAGGAATGCTTGCAAATCTAATATTTCTTGTTTCGAAGTAACAATGTCAGAGGTCTTGACAAAATAAGGTCTTCTGATGGCCATAAATTTGATATTGGTCTTGTAGTAAGAATTTGCACAAGATTATAATTTATTTATATCGCAATATTTGAATACCAAAAGTAGCAACTATGGGTTCCAAAAATTTTATTGGTGGTAATTTTTAACAATCCACTGACATGGTATATTGTAAGTTAAATTGTAAGCTACATGCTATTATATTTGCAGCAAGGACTCTAAATATTTTTAAAGGGTTATTTTTTACATATATTTAACAGTTATAATTATTATCCTATAAACAATATGTAAATGGAGCACTTACTTCTAATTCATGTTACTTTTCATATACATAATGTATTTTAATACTAATATTTATTTACACAACATTTTGAGAATTAATTGATAATCTAGTTGTGTTGTATATTGAAGAAACATCAAACATTACCTCTATTATTAGCATTTTCATTTTCATTTTCTATTCCTTACATTACTTTCATCAACTTTATTTTGTTTCAAGTTTTTACATTTTTTCTTAATTGACTTTATAAGCCCTTGATTTTTTTCAATAAAAATACTAAATATGTATAATATATAAATTAATTTAATCAATTTATTTGTTGAATTATTTTTATATAGAATTTTGACATTTTTTAATTTTCTTAATTAAGAAAATAATGTGATGTTTCTATTAATTATAAATAAATTCAAAGAGGTTTCTAAATTTGTAATAAATATAAAATTTTAGTTTTGATTATTTTTTATTAATATCACTATTAATATGATTTAAAATTAGTTCAAATAGGTTGATATAAATGAGAAATACTTGTAATAAACAAAATAAATAATGTATTAATTATGCACATATAATAAGAAAATATTAAAATTTTTAAAATTTTTTATATTAACTTATACAATAATTTATATAATAATTTATATAATAACTTATATAATAATTTTCAAATTTTAAAATTTTTTTTTTTTTTGGTATTAAGATGAGGTCTTGCTTATATCTTTATTAATAATTTAAAATAATTACATATATATATGCTATGATCAAGGTTAACATTTGCAGTTAGAGTTAACTGTTAAATTGCTAACTATACAGCTACTACTATTTGTACAAAACAAATAAATTGAAAATTATATACAAGAATAAAAGCTCAGATTAATTTATCTGTAACCTAAACCTATTAGAGTGGTTAAAACTTATTTAGATTTGAATATTTAGTATATAATTTGATAATATGTTATATTTGATCTATAGAATAGATCAAATTTTAATTTTGTAAATTGCTTAGCTAATAGGAGAGTATATGTTAGAATGAGTATGTAGTTGATCTAGAAGTCTGCAAAGGTATAACTAAATATAGTTTCTATAAAAATATGTATACCTAGTTGCTGAGTTAGATGAAATTAAGAGTTTGTTAATTAGTTGTAATTGAGATTTATTTTGTTGTTTTTTCCAATTAAAGAAATAAATACAATATGTTTTTCATAGTTTTTCATATGATTGTTCATTAATATTAAGAAGAATATTAGTAATAATTTGAGAGACAGTTTTATATGATATGTCAGAGTTTTAAACTATTAATATAAGTAATTTTGGAATAAGTCTTTTGAGAGTAAGGTTAGGATAAAATGTATTAGATAAGATGTATAGAGAATTAAGAGCTAAATAATGAAGGATTTTATAAATTAGATCATTTTTTTGGTATGTATTAAGATTAGGTAATTTGCTAAAGATGATTTGATTAGTAGATGTTTGAATAATTTAATTAAATAAAAGTGCATTAGCACAAGTATGCTAGTGAGAATGAGAGTTAACTAGGTTACAATGAAAATAATTAGTATCTGGATATTGGTTTGGATAAATAGTATAAAATAGTTAGTATGTTGGTAACTTATTAAGAAGAATTTTGATTTTAAAGAATTCTAGTTGATTAAGTCTAAAATTAATAATATTATATAAAGGTTTTTAATTGTGATTAAAATAAAGTCAAGTGTATCTTCAGTTAATATCCTGATTGAAGTATGACTACTTACTATTATATTTTTATAATGCTTATATAGCTAATATGTAGACTTTACATATTTGCTTAATAAAATATCTTGTAGAAAATTCTATGTAGTATTGCTCCTATTAAAGAATATGGTAAGGGTTATAGAGATTTATATAATTAAATGAAAAAAGTGGTAAAGATGACAGTTATTTGATAAAAAAGTCTGCTTGCTCATTAAGATTATTATTTGAATAAGCTTGCACTTTGTAAAAGATAATTTGTAGTTTGTGTGATTTAATAATATTAGAAAAAATATACCAAATAGGCTATGAGTTGAATTTGAATAACTTATTGGGATGATTTAAATAAAATTGAAGGTTATTAAATTTAAAAATTACTAATTAAGAATCAATAAAAATATTAACTACTGAATTGCATAGTACTGTTAAAATTGTAGTAATAATTGAGAAGAGCTCAGTTTTATATGATAAAGACTAGAATTGTATTTTAGTAAAAAAGAAGTTAATAGTTTGATTATTATTATCAACTTGGATCTAACTAATACTTATTGTGCATTGATCAATACCAATATCAATTATTGAGTTATCAGTGTAAAAGAATAGTTGTTAGTAAGAATGATTAAGTTAAGAGATAGATATAAGTTTGTTGATAGTTTTACTTAAAATAAAGATTTCAGAAGTGATTAAATTAGTAATAGGAATTATAGGTAGAGGAGGAATATAGGTTAGATGTTTAACAGCTATAGAGCAGATAAGGTCTAAGTAGTTTGCATTAAGGTTGAGTTGGTGTTTAAAATAGATCTGCCAAGAAATTGTATTGAAATAATTACAAAGACTTTGACAATATAAGTTTGGTTAATTCTGTAAGAATTAAGGTAGCATCCTGTATATCATTTGTATTTAGCAAGGGGTAAAAATAGAATTTTGAATAATTTAAATCTATATTGGAAGTCCAGTGAGTGATGAAATAATAGTTAGATAAGAGAAAGTATTTTTATATTTTTCTAATAATAATTTCTTTATTATGATATAAAAGTAACCAAAGTTTAGATTTTGTAAGTTTATTAGATATATTAATAGTATAATAGACATAAGGGTTATGACTAGGTAATTGGTAGTGTAATAATATATTTCAGTAGTAAAAATGTACTAGAATTGTGTCTTCTAAGTAAGAAAACCAAAAAGGTTTTCTTTGTTTAGACAAGTATAAAAGTCTAAATAAAAAATGTTTCTAATCTAATAAAATACTGTTGTTAGCTATGTGAACTTGTTCAAGATACATAATATTTAATTGTCCAAACTGTTTTTTTAAAGATTGGATATTTAGAATACTGAAATAAAATTGTTTCTAGTAACTGACCTTTATTACTAATTGTATGAGACCATATAATATTAGGATTGGCTAAGATTACTAAGTCAAGATAAATAAAAAGTTAAATAATTTTGAAGTTTAATAAGTATCTATTAGGGCCATCAATAATTGGTTTAGAATGATATAAAATATTAATAGGAGATCATGAGTTATTTTATAGTTGTTGAAATCTAATTTGAGTTGTAATGCCAAGAAGATCAGAATTATTGATTCATTGAAAATAATTAGAAATATGATGTTGAAATTGAATGTCCCATATATTATAAATATTATATAAATATAGATTAAGCATTGTGCTATTTAGTATAGATCTAGAAAGATGAAACTTATGTTTTGCCACAATAAAGTATTTAGATAAGATTTGGTTACATATAGTATAAGAAAGAATAGTGTTATGTAATTGATATTCCAAAGTTGAAATAATTACTATATTGATAATATAAGCAATTTGTTTATTAGTAATTTTCTTTGTACTAGCAATGTTGATATGATTATAAGTCTCTTTTTTTATTAGTTTGATAGCTTGGGATTGTTTATTATTAACTATAAACCAACATCCAAGAAACTTGAAGGTTTGATTTTTAAAAATAGATTAAAGATCCAGAAAATTACATAAAAATGGTAAAGAAGTTTGTAGCTAGAATAGACTTTGTTATATTAAATTTTGAAATTATTATAACTTCAATTTGTTATTTTTTATATATTTTTTAATTTTAAATAATTAATTAAAAAGACTATTAAAAACTTTTACTAATAAAAGTTTAAGATTAAAGAGATCTTTACTTTTCTAAATATCTAAAATATCATTCATTTTAATAAAATCTTTTGAATTATTTCTTTCCAAAATTAGTTTACTTTGAATCAAACTTTTAAATAAGAACAAATTTATTTTAAATTTATTTACTATTTTTAAATTACTATAATTAGCAAATTTTAATGTATTTGCATCATAATTTAATGAGTAATTATCTAATAATCACAAAAAATATAAAAAGAATTAAGCAATAAATCATAGTTAAAAGATATAAATTTTATAGTAAAAATCAACAGAAAATTACTAAATTTTTATATAATATTAAAATATTGAAAGTTTTTGACATTATATAAAAATTATATAATTATAAAAAAGATAACTTGCAATCTACTAACTCAATTTGAATAATTCTATTACTATTAAAACTAAAATGACTCATTCTATAATCATTATTAGGAACTCAAAAAAAGATTTACTTGGCATAAAATACTTTTTCATTATAAGCTAGTTATATTTTAATATATAATTTTTATTATTAAAATTGCTATTTTTATATTTTTTAACTATAATTTAGCTTTTAATCAAATTTAACTACAATTTTGAATCTTTCTACAAATCTATTACACAAAAAATTAACAAAAAATCATTCTCTAAAAACACTTATAATGTTTTATTTTACTAAGTCAACCTATTCTAATGACTTATATAAACTTGTTTAGTATAGCATTTTATATATCTAGCTTTTAAACTCACTAAGAAAACTGTACTAATAGTCTTTGGTCTCCAGTTTTAAGAAATTAATTATTTTGCAGTTTCTACTACAATAACCTGTTTTAAACTTATAATTAAAGTTGTAGTATTCATTTATTTAATTAAAACAAGCTCTAAAGAAAGAATTT